GCTCGGGCTGCGCGCCTGCGGCGGGGCGGCCGCCGCCGCCTGGCCCAACCTCCTGCTGCTGGGCTGCTTCGTCGTGCACTACGCGCACAGGTGCGGCCCTTCGGCCGGGGCGGGGGGGGCTCCTGCGCTGGAGCGCTCGGCTGGGCGCCTCCCTTCGGGTGCTCCCGCTCGGGCTTGCCCGAAAAGCGGGGGGGTGGCTGATGGCAGGAGGAGCGCAGGTCTGTGGCGGTTGGGGGTCAATCTTGATAGAAGCGCCTGACTGCCGTTATCCGGCTGCAGGGACTGAGGTTCTGCTGTTCAGTAACTGTAACTATTTACTCTAATAATCTCTAAAGTATTTTCTGCTTCTCTACATTAAGTTATTCTATGCTTTTGCATGAGCTGAGCAAGTAATTGTGGCGGTGCGGTGCTTCCTGCTTTGTTTTGCTGCAGTGTGGTGTGCAGTGGAGTGCTACGGCGCCTTTTGGAAATGGCATAAAAATGGAGTGTTGGGTGCTCCCTCAGTGTGCCGTGTCATCTGTACGCGACAGCTGTAGCTCTTGTGATGACCCCCGTTTAAGCGATGACTGGACCAGGTGGTCTTAAGGACGGTGTTCCAACAGGGGAAGTTCAGCTCTGGATGCTGATATAATGTAACTTTAATACTGTGAAACAGTAGCTATTTTCCAATTATATCTTCTGACATAGCGTTCCTTTCAGGAGTTGGACTGGTTGCGGGTCCCTTCCAGCTCAGGATATTCAATGATTCGTTAAAATGCAGCAAAGCTGAGGCCGGGTGCCCCATGTTGCCACGTAGTCAACGGTATTTGGTTGTTTTGTATAACTGCTCGGGAGAAGGCAGCTTAGCTGGAGCTCAGATAAGATTTTGCTGTTCCCTTCAAGTCATTGACAATAGTTACTGGTAACGCTCCACAAGTAACTTTGCCACCATACTAATACAGCAGAGATAGATTTGTCAGGCTGATTTTAAGCAGAGTGTGTGGCTGTTTGCCAGTGCTTATCGCAAGAGGCTGTTGCTTTTGACCCAAAAGCATTCCACGTCCTCGCGGTCGAGAGGGATGCAACGTATGGTTGGCCTGGTGGCTGACTGGCTTTGCAAACCCAGGAGTGTGTCTTTACTCTCTCTTTTTCCATTTTTAAGAGTAAAGAGGTTAGCTTTGGCATGGGATCTTAACTCATCCTCGATGTCTGGGAAAAGCTAGAAACGCAAGGCAAGGCTTTCTACAGAAAGCTGAGCCGTACTGCAGTTTCTTTTTTCCAGTTGTTTATTGCTATTGCCGGACTGAGGGACTGTTCTGTAGGTGAATGTAGACTGGAAGAGACCTCTGTTGTCCAATTCCATTTGTTGTAATGTAGCTGGCTTTAAATAACCATACTAATGAATTTGTTACACTTTCTTGAAAGCTGTTACGGCTTTGCATCCTCTGGAAAGGCTCCTTTGAAGCAGTGGTCCCCCAGGTAGCTGGAAAACACGTGAAGAACACTCAGGCTTCAATAATCCTGCTCCTGTATCATGACCTATTGTAATTAAATCGATAGGTGATAGGGAGCTGGCTAGTTACATGGGGCAGAGCACAGAAACATTCACCTGTTTTTCTTGTTTGGAGCTTGTTTGTTTGCTCACATAATCCCTTGGGAAAAGCAATCAAGATTCCTTTCCCAAATGGGATGGCAGTTGTGGATTTGTCATGTCTTTAACAGGTGTCATAGGGTAGACCAAGATTGTCAAGGCAAAGCAATTAATGTTTTTAAGTGACTTTTAGGGCAAGGAGGAAACTGAGCTCAGTTAGGTTAATTTTAAGGGGATTGACTTTCCTCCCTGGAAGTGCTGGTGGGTTTGGTGTAGAGACTGTGAAACCTGGCTCGTTTCAGAAGGCTTGATGATACCACTGAGGATTTAGGAACAAAGGAGGTCAAAAATACACTGTGTTTAACATCAGTTGCCTTCACTGCTCTGTCAAAGTAATTGCCTTGGATACAAAATTCAAAAATTCTGTCAGAAAGGGAGAGAGGACTGATCTTGTAATTCCGATTAGGCAACAGAATTAATGTTTAGGTGTTAAAGCAAGTGTAACTATCCTTCTGAACTGGGATCAAAGACTCCGCTGAGAATGTGAAAAGCAGGATAATATGGACTATGGATTGCAGTTTTGGACATCAAAAGTATCTTTTCTGTTTGATAATGCAACAATTTGTTTCCTTGTTCACTATAGGGCACTCATATTTCCTCTTCTGATCAGGGAAGGAAAACCAACACCATTTTTCACTTTTGTGCTAGCGCTTCTGTTCTGTGTTTACAATGGATACTTGCAAGGCCGAAGCTTAAGCAACTATGCAAAATACCCTTCAGGATGGTTAAAAGATCCATGTTTCATTACAGGTGAGTTAAAACATGTTATGGGAACTTTAGGTGTAGTTTTCCTTTGTCTTCACAGCTTTTTATTTTTTATTATAATTTTATAGTATCTTCAATCCCATTTTATAACTTTTCTCATAGTTAATTGTCTTGTTTGCTGTAGCTGGAAGCCTTTTAACCTTTTTTTATTTTAGAACTGTGAACTGACACTTCTTCCCACAATGTCAGTGCTCGATGAGCTGACTGTCATCTTTGTTCTTTAACACCGAAGTAAATACAAGTCATGTATTTTTTTTCAATATAGGAACTTGAGGCCTTAAATGGAACCAGCAGCATACAGGTTTAGAACAGACAAAGCAGGTCTTCCACATAACATGTAGATTAAACTGAAATCCCTCGTTTCTTGATGTCGTAGGTACTAAAGGTTTGTATGCGGTCAAACAGAAGTGAACAAATTCATGGAGTAAAAAATCCAGTAAGGGAAGCTGCTAAATAGCAAGATATCACTTCTAATGCCAAAAGTCCTTGGTGTTAGGATATTTACACATGTGTGCACACCGCATGTGTGTGCACACACGTGCACCGACCCATCCACCCTCGGAATAAGAGTGGGCTTTGTCAAAGAACAAAACTGGCCCACAAGGAAGGGGGTGGAGGGGTTGATCATTCGCTCCTCTCAGGAAGTGGGGTTACAGTTATACTTGGAGCCATGTATATGATTAAAAGGCTAAGATGTTTAGTGACAAAGTATTGTCTTTGCCCTATTTTTTGTTTCCTAGGCATCTACTTTTGCCTACTGTCAAAAACATAGTATCATTTTCCAAGGAAAAATTTACAGAAAGATGTTTTTGATAAACCAGAATATTTTGCCTTGTCAGTCAAAGGCAGAATACTGGGCAGTGTGGATCCTTGATCTGTGCTGTTCTTGTTATTCTGAAGCCAGAGCAAGTTAGTGTTTCTCCCAGATTTCTCAAGCCTTGTACAGCAAGAGTAAGAAGTTTTTCTTTATTGCAGTGTTATTGCGGATGACAATAGAGGACCACTGTGCTAAATGCTGTCATGACTATATGATTGAAGAAATTTAAATCAAAATATATTCTCTTGTCAAGATTAGGAGGCAGTACTGCTTGTGCTCTAAAAATGGAGAAATTGAGGTACAAGGGAATGACTTCAGTGGGTGCTAGGCACTTGGATATACTTGAAATTCTCTTGGTACTTTTGCAATTCCAGTTGTCTTAAACTTGGATCCAACAAAAAACTGATTAAAACACCTGTTGATCAAAACTGAGGCAATGCAGACTTTGTTTCCAGTGTCCTAGTTTAGTACCTTAATCAAAAGATATCTCAATACAGTGCTGTAAAGAAATCATGAGTCAGGAGCCATAAATCAATTCTTCCACTGAAAGATCTTAAAAAAAAATTAAGCTATTAAGACTGTTGCTCAGGTTTCCTTGGGGTTTTTTGAGTTTCAAGGATTTCTGAAAGATGTGAATGTATAAATGATAATAGTTAGGTCCATCTGCATTCAAATATGAATACTTTTGTGTATGAATTAGTTTGGCTTGGGTTTGTTTTTTTATTTTGGTGGTTTTTTTTCTTCAAATACCAGTTTAGAATGTCTGCTTATATGTATTTATTTCCAGTACTGCGAATCATAAGCAAAGTGTTGCTTTCATGACTATTCTAAGTCAAAATATTGCTTTAAAAAGTTATCCTGAAAACTAAGAAAGTGAAGATTCCTGGTATATGTAGCAACTATTTTAATAGTGTCACTTGCTGGCTTTTTTGAGACTGTTATGACAATAAATCTTTAGATGAAGTTTGGCATGGCTATGAAACAGCCAAACCTAAGAATTCGTGTTTCTTTTATTCCTGTAACTAGAATATCTTTTGGGCTTTTTTGTTTTTGTTTTGTTGTGCACATCAACATAATTGGAACATAGTGGATATTTAAAATTGCTATTTGGTATTCATCCCAGATAGGTACCTCCAAATATCTGCAGTTTATGCTTGTAGCTTTGGTCAACTCAATACAGCACTTCTGCATTTGTACACTGGATACTCTCTGAACAACCGGACTATTATGTTCTAGTTCTTCAAAAACATCTGGCAGTGTCTTTAAGCTTCTGTTTAAAATGACTAAAAAATAATTGAGTAGAAGATCAGAAAATAACAATAGCAAGAAAGCATATTTGCTGAGGGCTAGCAAGATATTTCTTCAGTCTATATGAAGTTACATGTGGAAGAGAAATGGGAGAGTGTCCACAAGTAGCAGCCAAACAAGGTTTAATAATGTCCTGGTTTCGGCAGGGATAGAGTTAATTTCCTTCCTAGTAGCTGGTACAGTGCTGTGTTTTGGATTTAGGATGAGAACAAAGTTGATAATGCACCGATGTTTTAGTTGTTGCTAGGTAGTGCTTACACTAGCCAAGGACTTCTTAGTTTTCCGTGCTCTACTGACTGAGAAGGCTGGAGGTGCACAAGAAGCTGGGAGGGGGCACAGCCAGGACAGCTGACCCAAACTGGCCCAAGGGACATTCCATACCATGTGACGTCATGCTCAGCATATAAAGCTGGGGGAAGAAGAAGGAAGAGGGGGACATTTGGAGTGATGGCGTTTGTCTTCCCAAGTAACCATTACGCATGATGGAGCCCTGCTTTCCTGGAGATGGCTGAACACCTGCCTGCCGGTGGGAAGGA